TCCTGGAGGAGGAATATAAATTGCCTGTAGGTCAAACACACCATAAAAAAAAATGGCCTTGTGGACTTCACTAATCTTCAGAACCAAATCAGCCTTACACTCTCAGCTAAAACCTTATTCCTTATCATTCTGAGGGTTTTTAAACATTTCCTTTTCACACAAAATATGACTTGGAGAAGAATTCTGTGAAGAACTCTCTTGTAGCATTTATGAAAAAAACAAAGTATGTGTATGCTTAGGAATGTACAGATAACAAAGTGAAAAAAGACTCAGAGAAGAGGGTATTACTAGAGAGAAAGCGTAATACTACTTGTATTTTGCTCTCTCGATACTTGTAAGAATTTGGAAAAAGTCCATGCAAGGCTTACTGCTGCCCCTGCTCAGCTCACATCTCATTATCATCTAACTTTATCAGCATTCCCAAAAGATCAATATAATTAAGATTACCATCTCTGTGAGGATTTCACGGGGCAATAGAGAGACAGAAAAAATCAACACTACTGTTTTTGACAACATGACAATTACAGTATAGGTTTCTTTTTTTCTGTTCCTTTACTTTGACAAGACTGTTTGGAAGCCTTGTTTTGTTATAACTAGCTAATTTCTGCTATCAGAGCTTAAGTTAACTAACACAGTTCTTCATGTGCATGCAGGACATGGACATCAGTGTTGTGACCATTTTTAATGTGCTTTTATACTACAAGAATTTCAGTATTCACATGTGAAATTTTCTCTTTTTTCAGTTGTTATATTGATGATAAAGCATGTAATATAATAAATTTTTAACAAACACTGAAAACTATTTACCATAGAGTATTAACAGCAACTTTTGTGCAATCGGTAAACACTTAATTTCTACTTTCACACTTTGTATGAACACAGTGTACATTAACACAACAGAATGTTAATTCATTTATTTAGGCAATGTTTAAATACCAGACAGTGAGCTCAGAATAGGAGACAGAAAAGCAAAAATCTGCTTTAAAGATAGAAAGACTAACACAGAGTAATATTTTGAAAATGAAGCCAACACACATAAATTTAAAGCATTTTTGTACAGAGCCTTATTTATACTAGGATACAGACACCTTTATGTGTAGACAGAACATTAAACTGATTGACATGAACATTAGAAAAAGGTTTCAGGCCTGTGCCATTATATGATTACCTTTTGTTAAATTTGAGGATAAAGTGTAAAGCCTGAATAGAGATATTCTAAAATCTGTGCATATTTGAAAAACAAACAAGGAGAAGTCTCCCCAACCTCAGTTTACAAAGAAGATCCATTGCAGATAGACCCACTTAGTTGGATCTTCAATAAAAACTAAGGAAAAATGTTAATCTTTTTCCACAATAAGCTAAGTATTCTCTTACTTACATCACATAGATAGTTGGGTGCTTGATTTGCAAAGAACAGAGGTGTACATCCTCCTGTGGCCTTCTTGTCTTTGGTGGTACAGTTGATCCCTTTCTGTAGTGTGGTGGGTTAGAGCATTGGGCTACATCGTGCTTGGGCATCTGCTATACCTCTCCCTGAACCTTTCCAAGACAAGCACTCAAGACAATACCAAAACACAGGTGGTTACTCCAGGGCTTGAAACTGACCATCTACAGCAGAGTTCCACTGGTGTTTCTGTTATACAAGGAAGTAAAACTAGATGTAGGTAATTTTTCCCTAGGGTAATATATGGTGACTATGGCAAGGTATGAATCTCTCTTCCCTTCACTGGTCAGTGAGGAGCTTGCTCTGCCTATATTCCAAGTGGACCAAAAGCAACCCAGCCAGTCCAGCACTCCAGGCATGCTGAGAAGTCTGGCTGAGAAGCAGTGCATACTAGTTTCAGCCTGGTAATACTCTAGTAAAATCATCTGTCTTTTTGTTGACAAGAAAAGCCAGTGCCATGTAAGAAATAGCAATTAGACACTCCAAGAGCACTTAATGAAGCAGTAGAAGACTCAAGTTCAACTCCTTCTTGAACATGGGGATGAGTTTGTAAATATTCTTCCCATATCTGTTTGGGTATTTAGATTACGTGTTCCATAAAGCAGATAGCAAAACACATTTTTTCAGTGTAAGTGAGTTTTCTAACAACAGGTCAAGAGTCATGATCTTCCTCAGTTCCCATTTAAACTTCTGAATGTTTAATTATTTCCTGTAGAAGAGCAGTCCTTCAGTAGAGGACAAACCACCGTTGAATCTCAAATTTAAGATAAGACAATTTTATATGGATTAAAAATTGATTCTTCCAGTTGAAAATATATGAAATAGAAGCTCTTGTATTTTAAGCTGTAAAACCCTCTATGAAAGAGCAATGCCATCTATCTCAACTATTCAAGAGGTAATAAGCACAAATTGAAACAGTGGGAGCTCCATTTGAATGCAAGAAAATGTTCTCTTGCTGTGAGGGTGACCAAGCAATAGAACAAGTTGCCCAGACAAGTTGTGGACCCTCCATCCCTGGAGATATACAAAAACCATCTGGACACAGTTCTGGGCAACTAGCTCTAGGTTGCCCTGCTCGAGCAGGGATGTTGGACCAGATGACCTACTGAGGTCAATTCCAACCTCAACTGTTCAGTGATTGTGTGATTCTGTGATTCTGTTTAGAAGTTCATAAACTTTCAAAACAGGATTTCAGGAAAATGAGTGTAATACCTAGTGATGTGCAAATTTCTTGGCAGAACTTTGTCCAGTGCACTAGCTAATTGCAGCTGCACACATTGTTAAGGACAGCTTTCTCAGGAACCTCTATATATTTCATATGGAGGTACGTAACTCAGGGTCTGGATTCCACACTTGAAACTCAACATCCTCTTAAAGTCTGGTGTTAAAGTTTCTATTTTCTACATGTCTAAATCCCTCAACCTACCTAGCCCTTAGGTCTTAAAATTAGCAGCGCTTAAACATGGCATTTTTGGACATTCACTTGCTTTTAGTGGAAAGGCTTTATTTTTGCCTCAATGTGCACAGGTTTCAGAATGAGAAGCAAACCACTGAAGCTAATACTTCATTTCTTTGTAGAAACTTCTTTGGTTATTATACAGAAATGTATCCATTCCTCCTGTCAGAATTGGCATTCCTTATGTTTTATACATATACAGCTTCATAACCTTATGAAGTTTTAAAAAAACCTATTTCTTTACATTTAAAACACATTCCACACAGTGCACCTGACAGGGTGTGACCCCTGAGGCGGTCTTAATGCCATCTTCGACCCTGCTGTCTCTGGCTTAGCTAACTCCTACAGCAACAAACATAAGGGCTGCTTTAAGTCTCAGCTCTCTGTAACAATCCCCTTGCAACTAGTACCCTGAAGA